GTTCAATTACGCATAAATCCGACTGAGTTTGAGCGATGGCCTGGGTTATGTTGACTTTGAGGTTATCGCTCAATTCGGACTTATTGGCATAGACCTGCAACTTCAGAAAACCCCACAAGAAAACGTCTAGAGGAATCAAATTGCACGATTTTGAATCATGAACCACATGGAAAGTATCCATTTTGGTGTTTGCTGTTTGGCAAGTAGCAACTTTCTGCTGGAAGCACATGTTATCTCGTTCAATTCGGGCCAAAAGAAATTGGTTATCACTGATCTGTAGCGCTCGCCGTTGATTATGATAGCAACACCATTGTCGTTTTCGAAGGTAACTTTTCGAATCAAACAATAACTTTTCGTGTATATGTTACAGTTCAAGCATTCATTCCGTGAATGTACATATTGTCTAATCAATGTACATATAGTTAACTATTCCATTGAATGTTCTGTGTTCCGTAATATGTGGAAGATCGCCCAGGTGACTCCAATTCCAGAAACCCCAAATCCTCATTAACCCAGATATGCCTAAACACTTACTATTAAATATAATTTACTGTTGAAATGATATTTTATCTAAGAAAACAGTATTTAAACATGATATCTGATCATTATAATTTTTTATATACTACATGGGTCTAAAAGACACTGTCTTATATATAGTACGCTAGGGATATTAATGGCGATTAGAGACACAAGACAATATTATAATATTATTTATTTTTTATGGTAATCAACGAAAGACTTTACATGTAATCCAATATTACATTTTATATATCTTGTTGTCGTCTTAGTATGACAAAAGCCGCATCGCGTCTGCTTTTCTTGTGGCGTAACCAAATGATCTAAACGGTCATATCGAATATCTATATTTTCTTGTTGAGTTGGACGACCTCTACTTGAAGACGGGAACGGTTTTTTATTTTTCAACAATAAAACATTAGCGATTCGTCGTCTAAATTGTAGCTGATTCATTTCTCCTCCATTATTTCGATACAGTTGCCAAGCATTTTGAATTGACATGTCAATACAATGACAAACAAGGGAAAAGTACCATTCTTTTCCTCTTATGGAAATACGATACAAACCAATATTTTGATCAAACCGATCAACGCCGCCCATATTTTCATTATAACTCTTTACGGTCGCAGGTTGTTCAATCTAAGAAAAAAACATCATTATTGGTACATTTTTATAACAGTTACATTTTCTGAATTTCGTGCCTGAATGTTTCTCTTCTCCTTTTGTGAATACCGTTTAGCAAAGCGAATTGGCTGAACTCCTTATTGCGTTGGAACAAAGAGAAACTAAACTATTATCATTCCATTTAACTGCTATTATATTTTGATCACTAATTTTCCTGTAATCATAGCTCCCTCTTTTTTCCTTCTTCAAAAGTTTAGAATCTCGTAAGTCAATTCCTCGCAGTCGATTTTCTTTAACTGTGCCGGTCCCCATAAGTTTTTTTTCAGACAGCTTCTCAATAAGTGGTATGTTCGTAAAAAAATTAATTATCAAAGACTAGGTGAAACTCCAAATTAGGCCATTTCTTTTTCAGAACTTCCGCATATTCTAGTACAACGCTAGGGCCAACTCCAAGGTCACAGTATACTTTGCTAATATTTGTTTTTGAACCTTGATAGGGCTCAAACCAATAAACATACCCTTCTTTAGAGGCGCCAACCCAGAGTTTATAGCCATATCTTATTGGCTTGCCATAAATGAACTGCTTACAGGAGTGACGACCGAAATACTGAACCATGGCTTCATCTGAATGGTTTTTTGTACGAATTCCTTTTTCCATAAATTTTTTATTCAAATGCTCGAAAAGAGGTCTAACCTTTGCAAATTTGTCTTGTTGATCTAGCGTGGAATTGTCAGCCAAATGAAAGTTTGATAAAATAAATTCAAACTTATCTCTACTGATACATTCTGTTACCAGACTATTGTTAGCGTCTCTATCACGTTCCCAAAACATTCTTCGTCGTGGAGTAATTACGTATCCACTAATAATAAGAACTCCAAGAAAAGCTTTTATTTCGGATTCCAGAACTTCTTGAAAACAATTCTTTTGTTTAGCGTATCTATTTGTCTCAGTTGTTATTAGGTTTATAAGATCTTCATCAAAAAAATCTAGGAACCACCCAAGAGGTGTTTTGTTTTCAGAAGAAAAGTTTTCTTGCGATTCATCACAAAAACTTGGAGGTAAATCATTTTTTATCCAATGATAAGTTTTCCTTTATTTGTACACTTTTTTCTTGTTTTGAAATTTTCTGGCCAACTCTGATAATGGGATATTATCATCAGTATCATACGAACTACTAACATGATCACCAAACAATTCTACAGTTGCTTGCAATTGAGAACCTGGTAAATTAGTTATTGACATTTGATCTTCTTCACCTGAATCTTCGTCAGTGAGATTACCACACGCATTTATTGGTGGTAACATGGTAATATTCTCAACACGTCCAACCATTTCTTCGTCCTCTTCAAGCATTGCAAGTGCTTCATTGAGTGAAACATTTCTGAAATAAATTGTATGCTATGTTCCTGGCGTACTACATATAGGACATCAAAAAACAATTTTGATTTACTAAGATTTATGGAAAGCATTTCGATTCAAACAACTGCACATCGATAGATGAACATATTTTTAATAATATAAGAAAAATTATTTTTAATTTTTGGTCAATAATAAAAAAACTACTTACTTTGCAAATTCGCAGCTATAATCGATGTATATAGTATCTTTACACTTCACTGTGACGACGTTTTTACCGATTTATAAACCCACGATGATCTCATACGACGGTGTAGTTGTTACTGAAGGTATACAGCGTGTCCCGTATCTTCCGCATCAGAGCATTATACGGTTGTAGGATACATTATTCTGAAGCGATCTTTCTAATAAAATTTTTTCGAAATGTTTATAATAACCGCACGGGAACTGTTTAAAGGAACTGTTTTTCGTCCAATCAGCAGATCGCAAATCAGACTCAGGTAATCGGTGCCACCCTCGGCCGGTCCGCTACGCCGATGATAACTCGTTTCCCACGTGTACTCACCAATAGATTCGTCATGGAAAGAGAAATAAACTTTTCCGATGAATCAAAGTTGTCCGTTATTGGTCGTCGTTAAACAGTTCCCGTGCGGTTATTATAAACATTTCGAAAAAATTTTATTAGAAAGATCGCTTCAGAATAATGTATTCTACAACCGTATAATGCTCTGATGCGGAAGATACGAGACACGCTGTATACGCGAGTGGTGAGGAAAAATTACTAATACTTAAATCGTGTTACAACTTGTTCCTGGTGTCCTACATGTAGGACGCTAGGTATATCTGGGTTAATTTAAGGACTTGAGGCCAATTAGCATATTGCCTATATTATCCAAGGTTTGTGAGAGAGTCATGACTTCGTTGCCATCTTGATGACTATAATGTGTTGCCCAGTTGCCAGTCTGGGCAACACATTATAGTCATCAAGACGCTACTGCGCTTCTGGGTGTGACAGATTAAATCTTCAAAGCAATAGACGACAAACGGGTTACTATCTTAACACTTTTGGATTTTTTCTAAGACCTTTGATAGAATACATCATGATACTCTAGTGGCTGCGCTCCATTATATAGGTTTATCTTTAGGACTTATGACTTAGTTAGGGTTGAAGAATTTGCTGACAAGCTTTGTCTACGGATATGGTTCTTGGGGATAGAGCTTTGGCTGAGTTTGTAAAAACTAACTTACAATTGGTGAAGGGTGGAAGTCGTCTCTAACCAAGATGGGTCAACCTTCTAACCTTCTTCTTCCTTAGAGACTTACCGGACGGTATTTTCTTGAATGTCTTCCAGCAAATAGAAAGAAAGAAAATCCTACTAGACACTCTAGAGTCTAGCAAGAAAATTAGACGGGAAACGCTATACTATTGGCCGGACTGTGATGTGTCTCTATATGTAACCCCATGTTTTAGTGTGTACCATACTGTAACCACCATTTTGACATTTTAAGGATCTGGCGCCCAACAAAATGTATCCTTTTGTTATACTTATTTATTCTTTGTATTCGTTATATGTTGTAAAAGCATAAATAAATGTTTGTAGTGCAATGATACTTAATTTTTTCATGATTTTTTAATGACCCAGTTAACTCGTAAAATCTGCTTATAGAGCCCTATTTGCCTATCAAGAGATAACAAAGATATTTGTTGTCATTTTGGACATTTTGGGCATTTTGGACAAATTGTCAAAAAATGTGCGTTAATCATAATTAAGTAGATGGCTCTACTGACTATTGAGAGCGTAGCACGTGCTTGATCTTGCAGAAAGAATTACAATCAAGAATTAAACGAATATAATTAAAAAGTGTTTGCATGAGTTGATCTTTTTTTTTAATTAGAGCAATTTAAATGTTGAGAAGACTTACATTAGTATATGATAAAAATAAAATTTAAAAATAAAAATCTCCACAAACAAACGATAATATTTATGGCTTTAGTATGTATATTGTCTCTTCTGGAAAAAAAATCTTTAAAACATAAAAAGTTTTTTTTATTTATCAATTCACACATAAAGCGTTAAAAGCTTCCAGTTAAGAACTTTATTTATTTAATCAAAATGAATAAAAATATATCTCTTTAATAATATTTTTCAGTATGTCAAGGATGTTTAAACCGTTTCATATTTCTATCAAGAACAATTTTTTCCATATCAAAATTATCTTTTAGTATATGATATGATTAATTGTAATTTGAGGAATATTAGTCACAACAATAAACACAAGACAAGGAAATCCACTTTGTCATTAGCTTCTTCCTCGAACGTTTTCTGGTTTTGAATTTTCTTTACCGTACTTTAATACAAAGAGAACGAAAAAAAGATACTCCACGTAACCTGCATTTAAAGTATCCAACTAATTGGTTTTGAACCAGAGGTAGAGAGTGGGGTAATAATAGTGGGAAAACATTCTTATAGTGAGAGTGTCCCGATTGAACCGGGAACTTCTCTGCTCACGTTCGCTTTGGCACGGTTAATGGTTCATTTTGTACCAAAACCGTTGTTTCTGAGCCACGTAAAAGAGAAACCATAAAAAAAGGTTCAAATTTATCGAAATTATTTAAACTATACAAATCAAAATGCGTGCTGTGTTAATTGTGGTTTTTATCGCTTTGGTGGCAGTTTGCTCAGCAGATTTATACCAACAATGTTCAAATGGTAAGAAAAGATTATAAAAAATGTTTACTTTGTAAATTAACTTTTTGCGAATAAGTTTTATAATTTGTTATTTACTTTATCTTTATTGAATAATACAAATAAAAAGTTTTTATTATCATTTAAATTTTTTCGTCTTTAATATTTATCTTATCAAGGTAAAATTCGTGTAGAATTGGTTGTGTTGTAACAAGGCGTATATAAATATTTTATTAAAAAGTTATCTATATTTATAAGTATATTGAGGTATATAAATTTTAATCGGCAAAAAACTCGACAATAATAATTTAATTTAACAATTAACTTTTTTTAGAGTATTACACGATTCAATATCATAAAGAAATTATTGTCAATTACATGAATATACTAATTTAACGTTATTTAACGATGTTTAATTGAGATCAAAGTTAAGTAATTAAAAATAAAGCGTTTTAATACATATTAAAAAATGTTTTTATAGTGGTTTGAATAAGATGGAACATTGTACTGTGTAAACGATTAAAAACCAATCTTTAATTTCGTAACTTTCTCTAAACTGTAAACAGTAAAGTTCCACAAATGATATAAGAACCTCTATCTCTTTTTAGCTTTAAATATCAAGTAGAAAAGTGAAGTTTTAAATTAAAAAAGCGATCTTTACGACCTTCTTTTTCGCGTTATTAAGATCTGGTAGATTTTATTATTCATTATTCATGATTTCTTCCGCGACCTTTTTTATTAAAACTTTACAAACAAGGACTCATCATAAATTTAAATCTGAACAGTAACTACTCAATTAATTTTAAACGTCATTTTTATTCGATTTTTTTTACTTGACTTAATTTTTTGTATAAATGCAACACTTACGTATTCATGAAATTGACGATAATTATTAAGATAAACGGGTTTTACGTAAATTAGAAAGTTGATGGGGCAAATATCTTGTAATTAATTTTTTTTTAATAATTTTTAATTTTATTTGTATTATTTTTTAGGACGATCTATCGATGATTTAGATTCGAAAGTATCCGTCTCTAGTTGTACAAAAGCTCCATGTAAATTAAAAAAAGGAACACAATCTTTAGTTACGATGAAATTTACTCCAGGTAAGTTAAACAATTTAATTTGTACCAATATATAATTTTAACATCGATCTTTATATATGAATGTGTTTTGTTTTATAAGACGAAGTTTTTTTTCGGCTAAAACTCAGCAATTCATAATTATATCAACTTGAACTGGCCATTTCAACCTTACGTGTTGTATAGTATATACAGAATATTTTCCTACTTGTTTGTTATGACATGGGAGATTATCTCTTACACAGACGTTGTTTTCCGGTAAATTAGACAGTAGTTATTCATTCATCCATTTTTGTCGAAATACATTTCGTAGTAATAATCTACCGTAGCGGCCATGTCGCTTCTCAAATACATACTCGAATACTTTTGTCAACCACTGTATACGATATACAGTCCGTGAAATAAATCAGCTCCGTAGGCAGCGTTGCCAATCGTAGATATATCGATATAGAAGATAGTCTACCGATACACGACTTAATCTAGCAATTTTCAAAACTTTAATAAAAAATTTTTAAATTGAAGTATTATGGGAATACCCTATTTATGTTGAATAAAAGTATTTTGCTATATACAGTACGTGTTATAAGTAACTCACCTCCTATTTAATTTGAAAACCGTTCGAGATATCATCATGAGCCAAAACTCGTCGAACAGCGTAAAACTACGCATCTGAGAGCAAATATAAAAGACAGCAATATTATTAAAAATAAAATTTGCTACAACTTTTGTATTTCAAACTTTTTTATAACATGGTCCAATTACCGAGTGTTACCTTAATAATTAGAAAAAGCCACAAATTTTCATATTTTCATCTTTTTCTCGATATTGACGCATCTGAGAGCAAAAGTGTAAGAGAGCAATATTGTTAAGAATGAAATTTGCAATAACTGTTGTTCCAAAAGTTTTTTTATAACATGCTTCGTCTCCCGAGTGTTACCATTAAGTGCTACTAAAATAATTTTATTAAATTCATCAACATTTTATATTTTCGTATTTTTCTCGATATTATGCGTCTGAGAGGAAAAGTGCAAGAAAGCGATATTGTTAGGAATGAAATTTGCTACAACTTTTGTTTAAAAATTTTCTTTATAATATGCTCCAATTCCTGAGTGTTACCTTAAGTAACTTGAAAAAGCAACAAATTCTTCAAACTTTCATATTTTCGTATTTTTCTCGACATTGACGCATCTAAGAGCAAAAGTGTAAGAGAGCAATATTGTTAAGAATGAAATTTGCAATAACTGTTGTTCTAAAAGCTTTCTTATAACATGCTCCGATTACCATTAATGGAGTGTTACTATTAATAACTGGAGAAAGCAACAAATTCATCAAATTTTAATACTTTCATATTTTTCTCGATGTCTATGCATCTGACAGCAAAAGTGCAAGAGAGGAATATTGTTAAGAATATAATTAGCTACAACTTTTGTTCTAAAAGTTTTTTTATAAAATGCTTCGATACCAGAGTGTTTCCTTTAAAAATTTAAAAATGCAACAATTTCATCAAATTTTCATACTTTCGTATTTGTGTCGATATTGATTCCTCTGACAGCAAAAATGCAAGAGAGGAATATTGTTAAGATAAAAATTTGCTATTTGTTAGCTTTAAGCGACTAACAATTTTTGTATTGTACATAAAACTTTATATACAAGTTTATATTATGTATATAAATTCATTTATAAACCTTTATCAAACAACAAATTGACTTTGTATTTAAACCTACCGATTTATTACGATACCTACCGTTTTTTTACCATTGATTCTATGAATAATTGGCCGGTATAGGTTGGCAACGCTGCCCGTAGGTACCGCTAACTGTTTGCTACGGCGGATCTGACCTTCACTGACCAGGATAGATTTACTAAGCTGTGTTATGTAATATTGCAGTATAAGACTTTCATATATTCGTATTTTTCTCGATATTGACGCATCTAGGAGTAAAAATGCAAGGGAGCAATATTGTTAACAATAAATTTTGAAATAGATACATAAATCTTTATATGTATAATGAACACGTTCTCCAATAAGGTAGAAATGAAAATGAATCTGCCACAAGAACTGTCTAGTTAGTTTAGACAACAAATAGTTGAACATGATCTATAAAATCTATCTTTATAATTATTCTCCATTTCGTCCTCATTTGAAGTAGATAGAATACTACCACCACAAATAGTTTGAAATAAAGTTTTCCTTAAAAAATAATGAGCAGTCACAATTTCCTTTAATAAAATTGCTGCTTTTTGGAACGGTGATTTTCATTAATAAAATCGTCCATAACTCCAAAACTAAACGCATTGCAGAAAAGTTTTTTAGAAATAAATTACTTATAATAAACCAAAAACAGTTAATCCATTGCCAGATTGAGCGTGATTATAATAGTTCTTTTGTTAGAAACTATAAAAACCAAAAAATATCAAAATCGGTAATTATCATTAATACAGTCGTCCATAACTCCTAAACTAAATGCACTGGAGAAAAGTGTCTTATAAATAAACTGTTTATAGTAAGCCAAGAATAGTTAATCCATCACCACATTTAGCGTGGTTATACTAATATTTTTGTTAGAAACTATAAAAACCGAAAAATGTCAAAATTATTGATTTTCTTTAATAAAATCGTCCATAACTACAAAACTAAACGCATTGGAGAAAAGTTTCGTATAAATAAATTACTTATTATGAACCAAAAACAGTTAATCCATCATCAGATTTAGCTTTGTTGCAATAATTTTTTTTTAGAAACTATAAAACCCGAAAAATATCAAAATAGTTGATTATTATTAATAAAATCGTCTATAAGTCTAAAACTAAACGAATTGTAAAAAAGTATCTTATAAATAAATTGTTTATAATAAACCCAAAAGAGTTAATCCATCACCATATTTAGCTTGTTTATAATAATTTTTTAGTTAGAACTATAAGAACCGCAAAATGTCAAAATTAATGATTTTCTTTAATAAAATCATCCATAACTCCAAAACTAAACACGTTGGAGAAAAGTTTCTTATAAATAAATTACTTATAATAAACCGAAAAGAGTTAATCCATTACCAGATACAGTGTGATTATAATAATTCTTTCGTTAGAAACGATAAAAACCAAAAAATATCAAAATCGTCGATTATCATTAATACAGTCGTCCATAACTCCTAAACTAAATGCACTGGAGAAAAGTGTCTTATAAATAAATTGTTTACAATAAGCCAACAATAGTTAATCCGTCACCACATTTAGCGTGGTTATAATAATATTTTTGTTAGAAACTATAAAATCCGAAAAATGTCAAAATTATTGATTTTCTTTAATAAAATCGTCCATAACTCCAAAACTAAACACATTGGAGAAAAGTTTCTTATAAATCAAGTACTTATAATAAATCAAGAAAAGTTAATCCATCACCAGATTTAGCTTTGTTATAATAATTTTTTGTTAGAAGCTATATAAACCGAAAAATATCAAAATCGTTGATTATCATTAATACAATCGTCCATAACTTCAAAACTAAACGAAATGGAGAAAAGTGTCTTGTAAATCAATTGTTTATAATAAACCGAAAAGAGTTAATCCATCACCAGATTTAGCTTGTTTATAATAATTTTTTAGTTAGAACTATAAAAATCAGAAAATGTCAAAATCATTGATTTTCTTTAGTAAAATCGTCTATAACTCCAAAACTAAACGTATCGGGAAAAAGTTTCTTCTAAATAAATTACTTATAGTAAACCAAAAAGAGTTAATCCGTCACCAGATTCAGCTTGGTTATAATAATTTTTTTAGAAACTATAAAAACCGAAAAATATCAAAATCGTTGATTATCATTAATACAATCGTCCATAACTTCTAAACTAAACGCAAAGGAGGAGAGTGTCTTATAAATAAATTGTTTATAATAAACCTAAAACAGTTAATCCGTTACCATATTTAGTTTGTTTATAATAATTTTTTAGCTAGAACTATAAAAACGGCAAAATGTCAAAATTATTGATTTTCTTTAATAAAATCGTCCATAACTCCAAGACTAAACACATTGGAGAAAAATTTCTTATAAATAAGCTACTTATAATAAACCAAAAAGAGTTAATCCATTCCCAGATTCAGCGTGATTATAATAATTCTTTTGTTAGAAACCATAAAAACCGAAAACTATCAAAATCGTTGGTTTTCATTAATAAACTCGTCCATAACTCACTCACAAAAACTAAACGCACGGTATAAAAGTATATTATAAATAAATTATTTCTAATAAACCAAAAAGAGTTAATTCATCACCAGATTTAGCTTTGTCATGATAATTTTTTGTTAGAAACTATAACAACCGAAAAATATCAAAATCGTTGATTTTGATTAATAAAGTCGTCCATAACTCCAAAACTAAACGCGTTGGAAAAAAGTATCTTATAAATAAATTGTTTATGATAAACCAAAAAGAATTAATCCATCACCAAATTCAACTTTGTTATAATAATTTTTTAGTTAGAAATCATAAAAACCGTTTAAGACAGTTAAACCCGAATGTTTCTAGTTTCTACTGTTAGTTCTAACGCTAGTGTTAGTTCTAATTTTAGTTGTTATTCAGTGTTAGATTGTTATATATTTTTCATTAAACTAAAAGTAGAACTAACACTAGATCTAGAACTAGAAACATACGGATTTAACCGTTTAAAGAGACGCACGGCTAAACTCGACCAAGATTATGAACCTAACACTAATAGAATAAATTAAGCATTTGCTAATTCAAAGTGTTAAAGTTGCTTACCTATGCGTGATCTATCGAAGTTTTATATGATTTAATATGATTATTATTTTATTTTGCAGAAAAAGATTTAAAACGTCTTAGAAACACAGTATTCGCAAACATTGCTGGTTTACCTTTTCCATTTATTGGTGTTGACAATACAAATGCTTGTGGTCAAATTTTCGAAGCCGATGGAACGACGAAAGCAGCTTGTCCTTTGAAAGCGGGTGTTGAGTACCAATATAAAAATAATATTGATGTTTTACCTATTTATCCAACAGTAAGTAAATTCAATATATCAAATTAAATATACATTAATTAAAATTGAGTTTAAAATTGATTAAAAGAATGCAAGCTGTAATTTATGATAATGGATTTTATCATATTATTGATGACTAACGTTCTAGGAAAAGCCTTTCGAGAATACCACGTGCATTTAAAGTTCAAAGTTGTCATTTAAAATAAATCCCTTATTACTGATAAAAATAATATTTAAATCCATCTTAGCGTTAATTTATATTCTGTTATTATTTTTTTTTAATTTTTAATTTAATATATTTATATTTCTTTTTCCAGGTTAAAGTTGTCGTACATTGGGGTTTAACTTCCGAATTTGGGGATGAAATTTGTTTCGAAGTACCCGCAAGAATTACGAATTAAATTTTTATCTTAAAAATGAAATCTCACTACTTACATTCTTAGTTAATTTAGATTTATTCGATCGTTTAATTATTAAGTTATTTTTTTAATAAACTTATTTATAACTTTTTTTTAATTTCCTTTTTCCGATATGTCTCGCAAATGAGCGATCAGTTTCCAAAAATAACTTTTAAGTAAAGATAATCTTTCAGGATAATTTATGTTCGCTTTTATAGAAATAATATATTTAGAAATACAACGAAACGAATCTTGATCACGTATCTTATCCGTTTTCAAAGGTAAGGATAATCTTCATTGGGAATCTTCGCGATGTATATAAAAAGGCAAGGAGAGTTAGTAGATAAAAAAGATTATTCATAAAGATAATCGGTAGGTGTTGCTTTTTTATATATTTTTTTGCAATCAATGCTCTTCCTCCTGTGTACGATTATCGAACGATAACATTAAAACTACTTGTATCTTTATCTACACTTCAAATTGATCACAAACTATTGATACTAATTTATTTTAAGTCTCAGTGCTTCAAAGAACGACAACTATTAAGGGCAGTTTTATAACTAATTAAAGAACCTCGCTATTTTACCGCGATGAAGTTTTATGTGCTATTATTATTTCTTGCCTTTGGCAAATTAGGTTCTTCAATTGAATTTGAAGACTGCGGTAAGTTAATTAATTATTTATTCTTAAATAATCGTTAATCATTTTTGAAATTTAGGATCAGAATATTATTTAGACGAAGTTGAAATTGAGGGTTGTACTGAATTACCATGTTGCCTTTTTCTTGGGGAACAACATAGAATAAATATGAAAGTTTTTTCGAGTAAGTAACTAAAATAATCATAATAAGATCATTATCTAAAAAAAACTACATTGTACATTGTAAGACGTAGAATACCGTATCTACAATCGTATATATGCACTTGTTGATGAATCCTACATGTTGACCAAGCCACATGATATCATCTGATTGTTTTGATGGACGTGTAGTAAAAAATTCTATAACGTATTGTTAATTGTTTTCTAGATATAACAAATATTGCGAGGAAATAATAATTATTTTCAATTAACAATAAAATTTCCACTAAAAAGAAAATAACTCTTATATAACTTATTTGATGTGCGTGATTAAACGTTGTTAAATAACGATTTACATTTTTAGACTTAATAAGTCTGTTTTTATCGTCGTCCATTCTTCGTGAATTTTATAAAAGCAGTCAATAAGCTTCGAAATCTCGTGGGCGTGAGAAAAGATAAAGAAATTAAAACCGTTTAGACGCCGGATTTACGACATAAATGTTTTTTAATCTTCTTTATCTTTTAAATGGATGTACGAATTATTTTAATATATAAATTTGTTTTATAAAACATAACTAATAATTCGAATATAATTTCACCCATGCGATGACAGCAACAGACTATAACCCTTGTTTTTTTATCTACTGTACAAGCCGATATCTTTGTTGTCTTTTGAGATTGCGGAATATTAAATAAACCACTAGAAAGTCTAATCCTTTTCTAATCAGTCCTGGCGATATCTTGATATCCAGAGCGAAAAAACGTCAAAATGATCAAACTTCAAACTCGTGTGCAGCCGTTCTGGAAACGAATTTTAATAAAATTTGTACCAATTTGGAAAGAACACACTTTGGGCAGGTTTTGTCCGGTCAACATCTATCGGTATCGGCCAAAAAGCATTCCTAATAAACAACTCTACATAGAGTGGGTAAATTGACTTTTCTCAGTAAAACTCTTATTTGGTAGGGAACAAAAAAACAAAACCCGTATTAATACTCTTGGAAATTTGTTCTATCTATTGATGCATTTTAATTCCATTTCTTTTGTAAAAACATCCTAACCGATGTTTTTGGAACGCATGAAATAAATGTCGGGTTAATAACTTTTTTATATGATACGGATAAAACTCTAAAGCCATATAGAATCTATAGAAAATACTACAATATTAAATATCTATACAGTAGTACATAACATTAGTAGATCAGACAGTTGCACGTAAATTTTCTTCCAAAAAAACTGCAATAACGCTCGCTCTATGAAATGGGCTTTCTTACCACACTACCAGTAGCATCTAGGTGCAAAGTAGTAGTGATTTTGCAAAAAGCCGGAAACGGGATATTCGGCATCCTATTACATGTATATTCGATATTCTGATACATTTCTGAATTGTTGTTTTCTGAAAAACTAAAAGTTATTTTTCAAAACGTGTTGGTTCATTGGAAAGAGGACACTCTTATGAACACTTTGGGAAATTTTCAAACTCATATTCCAAGAAATGGATTCTATACGAATTTTTAAAACTTAATCGGCGAAAATTGCAAAATTCGAAAAAATTATCGATCATTTCAAAAATTTATTTCTCAAGAACTAAAAGTGATTTTTCAAAACGGCTTTTTGCATTAAAAAGAGGATACTTTAATTAATAATTGGTGATATTTCCACAAGGATCCTTCAAGAAATTAATTTTATAGCGAATTTTGAAAATTATCGATGAAAATTGCAACATCGAAAATTTTATCAAAACTTCAAATATTGTTTTCTCAAAAACTAAAAGTTATTTTTCAAAACGGGTTGGTTCATTGGAAAGAGGACACTTTTATTAACACTTTGGGAAATTTTTATACTAATATTCCAAGTATTGGATTTTATACGAATTTTTAAAACTTAATCGGCGAAAATTGAAAAATTCTAAAAAATCGATCATTTCAAAAATGTATTATTCAATAACTAAAATTGATTTTTCAAAACGGCTTGTTGCATTAAAAGGAAGATGCTTTAATTAATAATTGGTGATATTTCTACAAGAATCCTTCAAGAAATTAATTTTATAGCGAATTTTGAAAATTATCGATGAAAATAGCAACATCGAAAATTTTTTCAAAACTTCAAATATTGTTTTCTCAAAAACTAAAAGTTATTTTTCAAAACGTGTTGGTTCATTGGAGAGAGGACACTCTTATGAACACTTTGGGAAATTTTCAAACTCATATTCCAAGAAATGGATTTTATATGAATTTTTAAAACTTAATCGGCGAAAATTGCAAAATACGAAAAAATTATCGATCATTTCAAAAATGTATTTCTCAAGAACTAAAAGTGATTTTTCAAAACGGCTTGTTGCATTAAAAAGAAGATACTTTAATTAATAAATGGTGATATTTCCACAAGGATCCTTCAAGAAATAAAATTTATAGCGAATTTTTGAAAATTGTCGATTAAAATAGCAACATCGAAAATTTTATCAGAACTTCAAATATTGTTTTCTCAAAAACTAAAAGTTATTTTTCAAAACGTGTTGGTTGATTGGAAAGAGGACACTCTTATGAACACTTTGAGAAATTTTCAAACTCATATTCCAAGAAATGGATTTTATACGAATTTTTAAAACTTAATCGGCGAAAATTGCAAAATTCGAAAAAATATCGATCATTTCAAAAATTTATTTCTCAAGAACTAAAAGTGATTTTTCAAAACGGCTTTTTGCATTAAAAAGAGGATACTTTAATTAATAATTGGTGATATTTCCACAAGGATCCTTCAAGAAATGAATTTTATAGCGAATTTTGAAAGTTATCGATGATACCATTTATACCATTTACATAACGACTTAGTAGTTCTGAATAATTAAAATTTGAGGATGTACTAAAAACTTGTACTAAAACTTGATATTACTACTATAGGTTCTATATGGTCTCCGGGTTTTGTTGGTATCATATAAGAAAGTTATAACTCCTTAAATATATGCGTAAGGCAATTATACGCGATTTCCGCAGTTTTTGGAGGAGAAAATGCGTGTGCAACCGTGTAACCTACTAATGTTATATACCACTGTATAGAGCAGAAAATTTCCTATGGGTTCTATGTATATGGTCTCAGAGTTTTGTCTATATCATATAAGAAAGTTATGACGCCTTAAACATTTACATAAGGCAATTATACGCGGTTTTCGCAGTTTTTAGGGATGAAAATGTTTGTGCAACTATGTGATCTACTAAAGTTATATACCACTATTGTATATGTATAGAGCGGAAAATTTCTTATAGGTTTATATGGTTTTAGAGTTTTATCTGTATCATATAAGAAAGTTATTAACCCATAAGTTATTTAATGCGCTCCAAAAACGCACCTTTTACAAAACAAAATGGTTTTAAAACATCGTATTCAACTTTTTTATGCATCATTAGAGCAGAAAATGTCCTATACTATTGATTGGGGTTTTGTTTTTTTTTGTTCCCACCAAATAAAAGAGTCATACTGAGAAAACTCAATTTACCGATTGTATGTAGGACAGTTTATTAGGCGTGTTTTTTGGCCGACGCCGATGATTATTGACCGGACAAAACCCGGATTTAGATAGCCCAAAGTGTGTTCTTTCCAAATGGATAAAGCCTTTTTGAAATTTGATTCCATAACGGTTGCACACGGGCTTGAAGTTTGATAATTTTGAGGATTATTCGGAACACAGCGAAGTTCTTTATTTTTTTTTCGTGGTGGATATCAATATATTGATAAGACAAAAAAACTCGGTTTTACATGAAGAAAAGATTAGATTTTCTACTGGTGGATTTTATATTCCGCTATATCTAAAGACAACGAAGTTATCGGCTTGTAAAGTAAATAAAAAAACAGTTTGTTGCTGTCGTCGCACGGGACATAATCCATAATTTCATTGCATTTTAGGTTTTCGCAGTGAAAATTTACACCAACAAAGTTATTTAGTCATCAAAACAATTCAAGTTGAATTAGAAGTAACCCCAGATGATTTATGCGATCAAGTTACTTGTCCTGTTTCAAATGACTATGATGTTAGTTTCAGCGCTGTGATGAATGTTAATCAATCTTTCGTTCCGGTAAGAACTTTCATATATTTTCTAAATCCTCACTTTTACCATCTCTTGATAAATTTATCCCATAGATAAATGTATTAGTAGAACTACGACTTAGAACTTTCTAGTTCTAGGTATAGTGTTAGATCTAGTTTTAACTGTTATTCAGCGCTATATTGTTGTATATTTTTATTGAAGTTAAACTAGAAGTAACACTAGACCTAGCACTAGGAACATACGGGTTTAGCCGTAAATTAATTAATGACAGTTAACGTACAATAATTAGTTTTAATTCTTCTTTTTTGATAGTCTCTTTCCCTTTGCATTCCAAAATTATACAAAAATGGTCGTTTAGATTAAGATCTGGAGACTGTTACGGCATTTTAAGCTGTTTTGGAAACTTCCAAATGCGTCATAACTTGTGTATTTCCGCTACATATTCCAGATCGTTACTTATTAATGTAATTTTTCAAATTGTTAAGGTATCTTTATTTATACACCAATAAATTGAATGTTATCCACTGCTTTGTATAGCATCCATGCTCAAATAATCACCTTTAATAGTAGGCACAGTATTTTCATGATTGAGGCAATGAGAGCAAAATTAAACTGTTCCCACAAGCTTGTCTTTTGAGTAATGGCAGAATTAAGCGTTGGCTCTACAATATAGTAGCGATAGTACTATACAATGCAAGTCATCTTCAAACCGCCCAATGCCCATACGATACAGTATTTTGATTTAACTTGTCGTTTTTGTGTGTGATGTCTTATTAGTATGGAAAAGAAGCAAAAAATAGACAGTGAATGCAGAATATTCAAAGACCAATGAATCTTTTAATATTTCGTGATTAAGTCCAGTAAGAAGGATGGTTGATTTGCAACGAAACCATAGCCATTCATAAAAAATACAACTTTAAACGTCATTTTGAAAGGAAACATTTTCAGAATTACACTAAATATACAGGAAATTTGCGGAAACAAATATTTTAAGCACAGCAAATTTCGTTTAAAAAACTCAATACTGAACAAGAGGCTGCAACTCATGCCAGCTTTCGTGTAGCTCTTGAAATCGCAAAACGTGGTAAACCATTCACCGGTAAATTTATTTAAAACTGTCAGTTTGTCAGTAAACACCTTCTTGGAGGATAAAAGACCTTGCAGAAAATATCTCATGATGACATTGGTCATTAGCTATCGCGGACCAGATTGATGACACTGGCTCGCCATACTTTGGAGACGTCTGAGATCTTTTAAACATAAACCATTGGAATTTAAGCCAATCTAGTTTGTAGATATCATGACTTTTTTCCTGTTAACTATGTTGCATTCCAGTTTTTTTGGTTAACATAAATTATTCTGCTTTCATCTTAACAATAATAATTTTTTCTGGCAGATCAATCCAATTTTGAGGAATTCCTTTCCTCTACTAAATCAAAGTCTTGATCATATGGTAAGTAAAAATGATCACTAACAAATAATGCGACACAATGTATTGACACAAAACAGTAAGTTTAATATTCCTCTTTTGGCTACTACATTGATAAGAGTACATGATTAGCTTCGTCATCATTATCACATTGCCACTACGGTCGTGTAAGACCCTTGGCCTCCCAGACTGGTCATTTTACCATCGTTTACAGGGTCGACCTTGCAGTCGACAGTTATGGTCTTTGGTGGTATTCTTTCTTCACCCATCGATTTCTGGCATGTGTTCCAGATGGTCCATCTAAATCGGACACTTTTAGTCTCTGCAACAGTGTTGGCTCTTCGTATAGCTGATACAAGTCGCTGTTGGTACGTATTCACCTTGTTCACAGATGGGGCCGTATATGCGACGAAGTAATTGAGTTAAGGAGTTGCTCGTCTCTCACTGTCATCACCCACGTCTCACTCCTGTTCATCACCACTGGTCTTAGAATGGTACGGTTTATTTGGGTTCTAAATATGCTCTATTTCCAGCTTTTAATCTCTCCTTGATCTCTATGTGATTTTCGTTGTTTCCGGTGACAAGCGAGCCAACATATTTCAACGTATGCGCATTTCCAAACGTGCAGTAGCTGATTATAATTGGTGCCAACACCGTGTTTGGGTTTCTGTTTCTTGTCATAAACATATATTTTGTCTACCCCTCGTTAACTACCCAACTTTTCTGGATTTTTCCTCAAATTGCGCAAAACTCTCCACTAAGTCCCTTTCTGTTCTTGCCAGCAGATCAACATCATCAGCATACGCTAGATAACAATGTAATTTACGGAATAGAAATAATAATAATAATAGTTATTTATATTACAAGTGGGCTAGAAACATAATTACTGTATGAGTGTGAAGAATTGCACGACGAGGTCGTAGACCGAGTCGTGTAATCACACGAGTACTGTAATTATGCTCTAGCCCACGTGTGATATACAGCATTTTATCTACGACTGCTAAAAATTACTAAAAAATCAATTTCTTTCAAAAGTCTATTTGACATTTATAAAAATATTTTGAAATGATTGTTAACAATTTTGAATTGTCAGTTTCAACAACATGTTTACTCTGGAATAAGTGTTTCGAAATGTAAAAACATAACAATTAATGTTTATAATAAGTAGTATTGTTTCTCTGTAAGTAGATAGCACTTTTTCTTTTGTATTGTTGCTCGTTTCAATAAATTAAGTCTGTTCTGATTAGGGTAAAAATGCGTTACGTAATGAAACCAGTGCGGTAATGAACTTCATTACGTAACTCAAATCACCTCAAATGAGTGCGTAATGATGACTTATCCAAGCAGTCGTAGATAAATAAATTTATTGCCATAATAAAATAAAAAAAAATACAAATTAAAGAAAATGTATACATTTAACTTAATGCATAAATACAGGCAAAAGGGTATATTTATGGCGCAAGCCATATTTTCCAAAGGACCCAATCAATCAGCCGTATACTAAGTTATATAAGAAAAACAATAAATAAATGGCAAGCTGCTGTGCTAAACCTATGGTCACTAAAAACGGTGCATAATGATAGTTGCTAGAATAAAAGAAGAAGAAGAGAAGAAAAGGAAGAAGAAGTTCTCAGGAAGATACTTGAAGAGCAAATAAATGACGTTCTAGATGGTTTTTAAATGTCACAAAGTGAGGAATCGCAGTAGGCAGACTATTCCAAAGGGTTATCGCCTGCACAGTAAACGATTTATGGTAAATCTTGGTACTATGGGTCGGGAACATAAGCAGACAACATAACTGAGATCTAGTGGGTAAACCAGGCGACGACAAATATACAGAACAGATACCTTGGTGTTTGATTGTGAAGAACAGTATATAACATAGTTAATATACGAAACGATCTACGGTTCTGACAGCTTAATATCTATAAATAATTACGGTATGGAGTTATGTGTTGAAATCTCTCGAGATCAAAGATATACCGTATGCAGTTGTCATGAAGTCTTTGAAGTTTGTTTCGGAGTGTTACCGAAAGATCAGGATATGCCATGTCAGACAGGACGTCGCGCCTTATTTCTTTATGTAGGTAAGACAAAGGCGCGACGTCCTGTCTGGGACGTTTCTGTTTCTTTTTAATTTGTAATTCCATTAAATCGCTCTTAAAAAATTAAGAAGCCCTACTTTTGAAAAACTGATAACGGAATCCGATAAACGCAATTATTTGACATATTTTGGTCAAATCTGCGATGAAATCCACTCAGCCGTTTTCGACATAACGGCGTCTTACTAAACCGCGATTTTCAGAGGAACTATATGGAATATCGAAAAAATAAAATATGCCACTCATTAAGAACACATCAGGCTACCACCTGTTCAAAATTTAAATTTTTTCGTACGATAGTTTTCGAGAAGAAAAATCGCAAAGTTGACAAAGTTGCCGGTACCGTAAAAAATCGGGTGCTTTTTTCATTTAACTCGCGTTAAAAAGAAAACCGTAGATCCGAAAATTCAAATTAACATATGTTACGTAGAAACTACAAACTTTGTCGCAATTTTTTTTATCGAACGGTTGCGAAGATATCGATCTCTAAAGAGGGGCCTTGACTTTTTGCAGTAGTGTTTTTTAAAGTCATTTGTATTAATCTCGCAACTTTATGTAGCACAACTAACATTTCCATCATCTAATACAAGTGTGGTCTTCTTACGCTATCGTAAGAGTGCCGATAATCCATAAATATTTGGTAGACTCGTTTATTCTTAGAAATTTAGCCAATTCTTCTGACCTACTTTGTAGAGTGATGCTTCTTCCCAGAACACAATACATTACTAAAAATTCTTAATTTAACCATCACTAATTCAATTGAATCACTGAATTAATAAAAGAAAAAGAAAGCAATGAATAAAAGTACATATTATTATGTACAATATTAATTTTTATTTATTTATTCATTTTTAGCTTGAAGCTGATCTTTATTGGAAAATACGTAATGAAGAAGGACTTGCTGTTCTGTGTATGAGGACGGATGTAATTCTTCGAGATAGAAACAAACCAGAGGATAACGAAATGTGCAAATAAAACAAATTAAAAGAAATCAAATTGAAATTGAGAGATTATTGTCGGTATACTTTTAGTTATATCCTTTTAGTGGTGAAGGGTTTTTAAAAATAAAAAAAACATCAAATATAAGTGGGAAAAAATTGAAATAAATAATGTGTATTGATTGTAATCTCTAATTGAAAAGACTGGTATATAAGGAAACCCACTACTTTATTTGTGTATTTATTTTTAATTTATGTTTAATAAAAAAAAATAGGATTTTTTATTTTTGGTGTAAATTGAAATAAAATTAATTGGGGCGAATTTCGCAATGAATTTTATGAAGATGGAAAGAGATAAAACGATTTCTTTTTGTGTACATTATTTATTTTTTCACATTTATGTATACTCTTTTTTTGTAGTACAACGCTACAAAGTACAATAGTAAAAAAGATTTTCTTTTCAATATGTTACAATACAAATGGCATTTGTATGAGATATCGACGACAAAAACTAAAAAATAAACTTTGTTGTCGCGCACAATACCTCTATGTTAAGGCGTACATTATAAATTAATTAAAACTATACCTTTACGTATAATAATATTTATATATAAAACTTCCACACAAACGCATTCAATTCATTCATTGACGCTTTAAAAAGTTTACGATTCGTCGTCTTTAATATAAATCGTACAGAATATGGCAAAGAAGTTTAGGAGATTCGAAATCTTGACACAATAAACAATATTTACTTATTCCTTAATATTTTAAAGAATCTACTTGGGATTTTCTTAAGCAGTTAAGTATTTTTTATAATATGTAAAGTTATTTCCACGCGATTATTTACACTGTGTAAATTGTAAAAATATTGATTCAACTTTAAGTTTCTTTTTCTTTATAAAGGCTGCCCTTATTAGAAGTAGTTACATTAATATAATCCGGTCGTAATTAATAATACAACAATTAAAAAGTTTTTTTTTAAGTTGTGTTTACATAAATAAATTATAAATAGTCTTAAAATAATATTTACATAGGTTGGCAAATTAATAAAGAATTACGGGAAAGACAATCACAGAATTATTCTGTTATACAATTTTATCAATTTCTGTATATAATTGTATAACAGAATCATATTTAAATTTGAAACACGACGCTTTTACATATTGGGCAAGAATACTTGTTACATTGTACTAAAATAATTTTAGACCGTTTATTTATTGCGTTGAAACTTTAAAAATCGTTCAAAAATGTATACGAAACAATTCCTTTTAAGATAAAAAATTTTTTCGATAAAAAATGGACGGCTATAAACAAATTAAAATTTTCAATCAAAATTTCTTTTAAATTCGCATCTCTCAAAGCTAATCTTACAAGTTATCAATGAATGACAGAAAATAGAGGCCTTAACATCAAATCACAATTGAGAAATAAGAAAAATATCCATAGTGTTTACATTTTTTTATATTAAAACAGAGATCGTTAAAAAATATGCACAAAAATAATCAATACACACTAAATAATTTTTATCGTTTTATAAAATTTACCAGACGCGACATCCAATTATCATTTATACACAAAATAAATAATATTACAAAAAAATCCTTATTCTCTTAAAAAAAAAAAAACACCAAAAATCTTTTTCTTTGTCCTGTTTCTTTTTCGCACTTCCACACTTTTTCTACCGATAAAGTTACGATAATTAATAAAAATTGTTCTTTATAAAACTTAAAGACTCAAAAAATGATCACAGTTAACATTCAAACTCGTTCGCGGTGATTGCGTTTAGGGTCATCATTAAACCCTCGAGGTTTGCCATTTCTTGGTTTAATTCTTCCGTTGAATGAGACGGTTGCAGTCGTTGGACTTCTTCGGCTGTGTGTGGTGGCGGATTTGCCGTACTTATTCGTGACGGTGGAGTTCCGGTTAAAGTACTTGAACTACTTGATGGTTGCTTTTTGTAGGGCGAAGAACTTGGCCTAACTATTAATGAAGGTTGTGTTACTATTGAGAAAAAAGTAAAATAAAAAAAAATTTAATAAACAAAATAAATAAATAACTTAAGTGGTAATAAAAAAAATTATAATGGTTTCGACCAGTATAGTGCATCAAGATTTATAATTGTTCAAATTTTCTGACAATTAAAAGGTATTTTTATGGGATTCAGATTTTCTTTTAAATGTATAAAGACTTTGATATCCATAAGGGTTCCTTATAAACTCTATCTTTCGAACTAATAAGCAAACTCATTATGGTGTTAAACAATGAAATAACCCAATTTATGATTTTCTTTCAACAAAGAGAATCAGATTTGAAATTGTTGGGTATCCATCTTGCATCAGTTTAAAGTTGACACAATTACAATGTCAATTAAATGCATTTTATGTTTCTGTATTCAGATCAAAATAAACTGACGCAGTATACAAAAGTTAGTTAACAATTTTCAGAAAGTTATATTTTATGATTCTTCAAAATCTATTTTCATATTTTCGGTAAAGTAATCTTCAAAGTGTAGCTTAATTCTTAGAATACAATATTTTCAATTATTTACAAAATCAGGTTTCTACGACATCTACATCTTCAGGACTTAAAGTGGGTTTGATAATGAATATGCCAAAATGAGAATTCTCCACTATTAATATTTCGAAAAATCTCGATGTTACAGTCTCAAGTCAAGCGTATGTAACAAGGTAAGCATAAGAAGAAGAATAATACAAAAAATACCGTACTATTAAAAAGTATTTTTTTAGTTGCGTATAATTTTTTGACCAGTCACTTTTTGTTTGCCACAAGAAAAGATAAAAAGAGATGGAAATAAAGGAAATAAACTGGAAGGAAATTAAAAGAATAGAAAAGAACTGGACACCCAGAAGAAAAAGCTGAAAAGAGATTGATAATATAATATAAAGACTAATAACATAAGCTAGAAAAACATAGAGGTGAGTAATAAGTGAAGAAGGAGAAACTTAGAAGAGAATAATACTATAAATAGAAGAGAGACTCTGATCAGAAAGGCGGGAGACTGTCATCCTCTTCTCCAGCTGGTTACTTTCTTGCCTTTACAGCCTCTTTCCAGGGCTCTGTTATCTGATCTTTTTGCTGTCCCTCTAGTCTCTATTCTATTTGTTTCTTCTATTACCAATTTCATTCTGTTTTCTTCAATCTGTGTTTTACTCTCGTTCTACTTTTACCAGTCTCTGTTCAACCTCAATCCGTTATGCGTAATTTGTTTCTTCTTTTTTTGGATCACTTTATGATCCTTTCTTTTAGTTGAGTCAATTTCATCTATTATCAGTCTCTTTTTAGTCTTTTCTCCTTTCTGCAAATTTTCTTTCTTGTCTCTACGGCCACTCTAAACTCTATTTGGACTATTGCCTGTCTCCTTCTTGTCTTTATAATCTCTGTTGAGTCCCACTTTTATTATCAGTATCCACAGTTCTCATAATTTTTGCTATTATTAGTCTTCTATTCTCTGCCCAATCTCTGTGTTCTCTTTCTGCTATTACTAACCTCATCCTTCTCCGTTTTCTCTATTTCTACTATTATTAGTCTCTGTCCAGTCTTTCTCTTTTCTGACCATTCTCTTTCGTCTCTATTCAGTCAACTTTTAAAGTCAACTACTACCAATTGCCATCTTGACTTTCCAGTCTCTGTTCAGTATTTTTCATCTGTTGCCAGTATTCTTCTAGTCTTTCCTCTTCTCTTCCCAGTTTCTGCGTTGTCTTTCCAGTTTCTGTCCAGTCTCTTTCTGCTATTAATGGTCTCCTTTTTCCGTTTTCTATATTTTTGCTATTACTAGTCCCTTTTCAGTCTTTCTCCTTTCTAGAGAATTATATTCAAAAACCATTTTACCTGTATTTGTAAATAATTTGGGATAAATAATATGTAAAGCTTTTTTGTACTTTGAAAACTAATCTTTAATTAAACAAAGACATGGGCCTTACTAGTTTCGACTAATGACCATCTTCAGAGACTAGTTCACATTATTAAAATTCTTTAAAGTTATAAGAAAAAATTTAATATAAATGATTAAAATACAATTAACGAGAAAGTTAACATTTTAAAAAATTTAGAACGTTCTAAGTTTTAATAAAATAAAGATAGATAATATAATAAAAAAGACTGAACAGAAACTGGAAAAACACCGAAGTATGATAAGTGAAGAAGGAGACTGAAAAGGGACTGGGCAAAAAACTTAGAAGAGAAGAATACCACAAATAGAAAAGAGACTCTGATCAGAAAAGAGTAGACTGTCATCCTCTTCCCCAGCTGGTTACTTTCTTGCCTTTACAGCCTCTTTCCAGTGCCTTTTTCTCTAACAAATCTTTCTGCTGTCTCTCTGGTTTCGACTCTATTTGTTTCTTATATGTATTACCAATTTCATTGTGTTCTCTTCAATCTGTGTTCTGCTCTCGTTCAGTTTTTACCAGTGTCATTCCGATATGCGTAATCTGTTTCATCTGTTTTAAATCTCTTTTTGATATTACCACTCTCCTTTCTTTCAATTTTATCTATTATTAGTTTCTTTTTAGTCTTTTCTCCTTTCTGCACATTTTCTTTCTTCTCTCTACGGTCACTATGTTCAGTCTCATTCTTGTATTATCAGTCTCTTCCTCCTCAGTTCTCATAATTTTTGCTACTATTCGTCTTGTTCTTGTCTTTTCTCCTCTCTGCCCAGTCTCTGTCTTCTCTTTTCATCTTTGCTGTCCATTCTCTTTCTGCTACTATCAGTTACCTTCTTGACTTTCCAGTCTCTGTTTAGTATTTTTCATCTGCTCATCAGTTTATGTCCAGTTTCTTTTTACTATTACTAGTCTCCTTTTTCTCTATATTTTTGCTATCTATATTATTAGTCCCTTTTCAGTTTTTGTCCTTTCTGCCCAGCCTCTATCCAGTCTTTCTTTACTATTACTGGTCTCCTTCTTAACAAGTCTATAATTTTTAGATAATTATAATTAAAATCCTTTTTACCAGTTGTTATATCATCAAACTGGTTTTATTAAATTAAGTCTGATTAGTTTCGGGCCATGGCCATCCTCAGAGACTATTTTTACAAGAGTTCACAAAAAAGTCATATCGTTAAACATTAAGTTTACAAAAGTTTCGCAATTATTTAAAATATAATTTAAAATTAAGGACACAATTTACAAGTTGACACGTTAAAATTGAAGAACGTTCTTCAGCTTCTTAATTTTTGCTATTATTACTCTTGTTCTAGTCTTTGCTCCTTTCAGCCCAGCCTATGTCTTCTCTTTTCACTCTCTGTCGAGTCTCCTTTTACTATTACTAGTCACTTTCTCCTAGGTTCTCTCAATTTCTGCTATTGTTAGTCCCTTCCCACTCTTTCTAGTGTTTCCTTCTTTCTGCCCAGCCTCTGTCCAGTCTTTCTTTACTATTACTAATCTCCTTCTTAACCATTCTCTAATTTTTGCTATTATTACTTTTGTTCTAGTCTTTGGTATTACTAGTACCTTTCTCATAGGTTCTCTCAATTTCTGCTATTGTTAATCCCTTCCCAGCCAGTTTTTCTCTTTTCTGACTATTCTCTTTTGTTTCTACTCAGTCTCTTTCTACTGCTACCAATTGCCTTCTTGACTTCCCAATCTTTGTCCAGTCTCTTTCTTCTGGTAATCTTTTCTGCTTTTTGCTCAGTCTCTTTCTGCTATTACTAGTATCCGTCTTCTCAGTTCTTTGTGCGTCTTTCTCCTTTTGTTGTCTTCTCCTATTCTCGTACGTCTCTGTTTAGTGTCTCTTTTCTGTTATTAATCAGTTACCTTATTCATTAACCAGTCAATTTTCAGTCTCTCTCCACTTCTTCTCTTCTCTACTCAATATCTTTTTTGCAACAGCTATTAAAACTTCATCTGGATTATTGTATTCAAAATCTTAAGAAAATACCATTGAAAATTTTTAAGGAAAATTTATCTTCTTACTGAAGCTCAAACCTGAAAATATAGATTTCTTCTGTCTTAGAACTGGAAGTGTAGATTCTGACAGTAACGTATTGATTGCTAATCTTAATCTGCATCTTGAAGATATAGATAATGAATTTGAAAAATCATAATTCTGAAAACTTGCAAATATACCCCACATTTCTTTTTTGTGGTGCAGTGTAATGAACATTATCACTGTTATACAAAAAAATTTAGAAAAAAGATCTGTCAAGATGTGTGTTTCTGCGTATTCTTTGTGTTATAGACAGAAAGGTTCAAAATGAAGAAGCTCTCAGGAACTGTGAGGTACAAACTCAATTGTTTTAATAAATAAAACAAATCAGACACAAGTTCAAAAATGGTTTTGTTTGTTTCATTCATTTTTTATATTGTGTTTTAGTTTAAATTATACTCTGGCAACAAAAATTCAATTAATATTGTGATTAATCTAGACCTTGACATCCATAGTACTATTGTAACTCTACTTGATATTGAATTAAATCTAGAAGAAAGTGTGTAACACATCTATATTTATTAATACCAATCAATATTTTTTGAACAAATAATAAAAACTTAAAATAAAAAGAAAAACATAAAATAATTTTTTTTTCTTAAAATTTTATTGCTTACCAACGTGTTTAGGTTGTGGAGTACCCGGTGCTGAAATAGGCGGAGGAGCCGGCACTGTAAAACTTTTCAATGGGTGTCCCTGAGCTTGAGCTCGTTTTCCCGCTTGCGATTCAGCCAAAACACTCATCCCGGGAGCGTACGCACTCGTAGGAGGTACGTGAGCCACTGGAGGTGGTTGACTATTCAAAAGAAAAACTTTTATTTCAAGTTTTATTAAAAGGCTCCATTAAAAATTGGATAAAATTGACTCCTTTTATAATTATTGTTTTATTTAAACCAATTTCTTTTGAAATACTCACCTAATATAACTTGATGGTTGAGAATTGGAATGCTCATAGCTATGGGGTGGGTGCGTAGCGTACGGATTTTCTAATGCCTGATTATTCGCCATAGCGTTTTGATCTAACGTGACATGAGCTCTAGAGATAGTATATTGGGTTCTCGGGTAAGGCGGGCGACTGGAGGGTGTTGATTCTGAACTAGCCTGACTTAGCGACGTGGAATTTATTGGAGTAGCCGTGGCTATCGCTAAAAAAATTACTTTTTTATTTAAACAAATTTACTTAACTCAATTAAATTTGATTTTTTGACTGCCTTATAGTACAGAGTGGGACAATCAAATTGCACTTTTTAAAGATATTAAAAAAAAAAACACTGATTATATTTTTTTTTATCCATAAAAAGTGAAACAAAAATTACATAAAAACCGTGCAACAGCCAACGATGACTACTTACGTTCTCTAGGTGGTTTCGAATCCACCGGTAACGTTATTGGTTTTGGTTTGACCGCCCGTTTGTTTTTATCGTCAGGAGTACCACCTAAAGTGCAGCAAAAGCGAACAGTGCAAAATGTGTGTATGATTCAAAGAAATATTATACATTTTGGTTGCAAGTTAGATGATGTTTATGTTTCTTTTTTGTTGCGTTAAGCTCTAAATAACTCCTTTTTTAATTTAACACTTAAATATGAATTCGAATAAAAAAATTACTTACACATGTATGCATTGGGTACATAAGTGCGTTTATCCAAGGAATTTGTGTGGTGGTTCTCATGGGAATCGAATTCGTTTCCACCCGTACTTCTTGGTAGGGTCATAGCACCGGAACTGCTCGCGTCGTTGTTGGCTTGGTTTTTATCTAAACCTTTTAGTTCCATTTGATCGTGATGTATCCATAAATCGGGCGGTTTTATATTTTGATTACCTTTTTGGTAACCTTTTTTGCTTCTATCCGGCGAAGCAGTTACTTCTTGTCGGCGACAGCACAACACTATTGTTACTACAGCTACTGTTATAACAGCTAGAGTACATCCACCAACGATTAAGTACAGCAGCATTGATTTGTTAAAAACACCTCGACTATCTAAAAAGAAATATTTATGTAAATACAATTATAAATAACAAGTATTTGAGCGTTACCTTCTCGTGTACCAAAATCTAAAACAATAATAAAAAATTAATTCATAAAATAATCGTAAATAATCCAAACACTTACTATTTCCAGTTCTAAATGTAACGATTGAAGAAACTGGTCCGTTTATTCCTTTATTATTTCGTGCATGTATTTTAAAATAATAAGAAGTCCCAGGATGCAAATCGCGGATAACGAACGAGTGTTTATCCCCTTTTATAGCTTGAGCCTGCCAATCTCTATCCTTCTTACTTTTATCAGTTGTGTACAAAATAACATATCCTAATAAAATAATTAGGAGTATTACTTTTGGTCGTTTTTTTTTTAAACAATTTATATTTACCATTTATATTACTATTACTATCCAAAGCTTTGGGTGGCTGCCATCTCAACTCGGCGATTTGTGCGTTATCTTCCCAGCCGGTTATCTTTAGATCTTTCGGCGCCGACAATGATGGCATTGTCGTGTTGCTAACGACCATGCTCCACGGACTTTCACGTCTATCTTTAACCACGCGCACCCTGAAGTCGTACAAAGTGTTTGGTTTTAAATCGTTTATCATAGTATTTTGCTCCGTCACGTTTAATACTTTGCCAGTTCTTCCTTGATCATCAGTGTAATAATGTACTTTGTAATAACGATTGTTATTCATATACTTAAAAACATAAAATTATTAATTACTGCCTTCATCAACCTTTATTTTATTTCAAAAGATTTAGATACTAACTTGGCTTTTGCTTAAAGTTGTATCTGTCCAATACAAAATAACACTGGTTGGGCTTAAAACCTGTGCTTTAAGTCCGACGGGTGGAACAAGAGGTGCTAAACCTTCCGACGGATCTTCATCGGTTGTTCTAATTGTTTGGAACGCTGGTAAACCGGGACCTATACTGTTATTAGCTCGAACGCTTATAACGTATTCGGAATTTGGTTCGAGATCTTGTATAACAAACCGGCGAACTGTTGCATTTACTTCTTGGTTATAAGTGTCTGGTATTCCTTTACCCCATCCAATTATATAATTTCTTATTTTTATATTTTCTTTTTGTGGTGGATACCAAACAAGATAAATTTTCGTATCGGTTGCGTTAACTAAAAAAAAATTTTCAGATTTTTATTTTTCATAAACCTCATCTTTATAATTTATGTTTTTTTCAGTATTACCGACTACTTTAGAAGTTAGTAGTTTTGTAAACCACTACATAGATGCCGATTTATGTATGTTCTCGCGTACGCGAGTTATTAACCGGCGCTCTACGACCACGTACAACCTCTACACTCCCATCGTTCCTATCATCGCGACTTATAGTTACGAGACCCTGACCCTTAACCTTAGCCTTGGGCAAAATTACGCGTAACGTTTGTTTATAGCGGTGTATCCAAAATCTCATTATCGGTGGCGACTTCTTAAACCACTACAGATTGTTGATTGATGTACGTAATCGGAGCCTGATAATAGGTCCCAATTACCCTCAAGTGCTATTGCTGATAAAACCTGAGAATCTAAACATATCTGGAGCTCAATGGAAGAATATATACTCGATATAGCCGATGCGAGAATCTTCGAAAATCAGTAGTGCAAGAAGATAGATTAAATCTTTGAGTTCTTGTTTTAAGCTTTCTGGTTTGAACCAAGACTGAAACTGTAAGGTTTACTACTTCTTTATCAAGTCAAAACAACTTGAACGTGAACACTTGTGGATACTCGCGTGGATTTATAAATAGACTTAATAGGGTAATGAGAACAGCTTAATGGTCGTTCTATCTCTTAAAAATTTTAAGATGTTGAAAACAAAAATTAACTCTAACGAGAAGGAGTTGGGTTGGACCTCCATCAGTTTGAGGAGCTGCCTCTTCTGCACTTGGAAGGCGATGAGGAAGCATTGCAGTCTCAAACAAAAAGGGATATGCTAGTTAAGGTCCGCTAAGAGGACCATGAGTAGGTTATTGGTTAGTTCATCAAGAAAGACTTGGGAAAATCAAAAGTCTAATGAAAGCTGATATAAAATCATGAGGAAGTGGCCTAACGGTTCAATTCGATTGCGATCGAACTTTAAGAACCACCCAGTTTAGTGCAGAAGAGGTGTCGTTATGAGCAATTGTTAGCAATTGAACGAAGACAACTAATAGTCATTGTTTGTAGATGGGGGTCCAGATCAGACGATTTAGGGAAGGATATTTCTGGACCATATATTTTTAAGCCGTACATTCCGGGCAATGAAAAAAATACTCCTCTTTCGAAAGGTAACTTGAGTATGAGTCAATATCTACAACGCCACAAAGTAGCACTGCAAGCAGCAGCACTTCGCTAAGAGCGAATTTACATGAGCGTTAGATGATCCAACACGCGTTTTTTTATGAGCGTCGAGAACAATTGTATGAGAAAGTGTCATAGTGTGCACGAAACAGTAGTTTTGTTAAACAGTTTAGTAATCGTTTTGAATTCAAAATGAGTACTGAAAAATTCATAAGTGCAATTCAAAATCGACCATCGTTATGGATGAGTTCACATCCGTAACAATAATCTGCATCAGCTACGCTTTGAAGCAAGAAGAAGCGCTTTGAAGAAAAAAAGTGCTTATTATGAAAATCTACTGCTCCGAAGCAGTTCAGAAATTGCCATCTTAAAAAACAATTTTTTGGTGCGTTACTTAAATGTTCTTATGTTGTTTGTGGCATATGGGCATTCAATATCATCATATGGGCTGCTGGTGTAATAATTTGTGGGCCGCTGATCGACAGTTTCCAAGATGGTTGTATAGTGATCAGCATGTAGTCAAAAGTATCGACACTTATTTTAGTGTATTCAAAAAATTTGTTAGGAAAATATCTAATGTCGTTATATAAGCTAAGAAATTCACCATATTTTAGTCTCTCTCGTATTTTAAGTTCGTGGCCTTGCTTTTGACGCTACAAATGACGCCTGTAGCGACTTGACGCTTTTGGCGATATTTTCGTAGCCATAGTCCCAAGTTTTGGAACATCTGGTTTAGCGCTTCGAGAGCTCGTACTTGCTAAAGAAAACGAGGACCACCCTCCCTTTAGTTGTGGACTCATATAAGAGGAAAGCTGGGAGTACAAGATCGCCTGGCACAAAATCTGGTTAGGAAAGATCTCTGGAAATATTGGTATCTTCAATGTAGGTCCTAGCGAGTAAGTGTCTGTTCCACTACACTCAATTCCAGATGAGAGATACTACTTTGCAATTCCTGTGCGATATCTTTTATCTCAGCAGATCAATACTGAATTTTCCATCCTGAAAGTGGACCTAGGATTTTTTGATTCTTCCTTACCTAGGAAGAATCGAAAAAAATCTGTCATTTCTCTACCAAATTGTCGTATGTTCAGTATATCTTCCCGAAAACGTCGCAATCCTGTTATAGCTGCTATGTCTGATGCATAATAAAGATAATGACAAAGGTGGATATTTGAGTACATACTGAGTGGAGGTATTCCTGAATCTGTAAAATGCTTGAAATGTGCCCAACGTCACTTAAATTGACAGAAAACCCTTCTTGAAACAAACGAATATATGTGTAAATACTGACAATTTATAAAAGCCTGCACCCTTAAATTTATAAAAGGAGTTGGAGTAAGTCATTAAGAGTTTACAAAATTAGCATTAATAGCAAAGTTACTTTGATCTTGGTACCTGGTCACACCATCGTGGCTGGTAAAAACAAGGTGATGAGCAAGCTAGAACTGGTAGAGAATCACCGCTCGTCGGACCAGAACCTGCAGTTAGTGTATCATATGCGACTTTCCTAATTTGAAACATAACAATAATCTTATTGACATCAACCTTGTATATTAAGTCTATTAGTTCGCTTCGCATCGGCTTCGAGGCAGAAATTGTAACAGTTATAGCCAATTGTTATTTCCTTAAGTTCTATTATTTTTAAAACTGCACTCAGTTTATCGTTAAAAATACAAGCAATATCTGTACTTAAATTCAATATATTTTTACCGCTTGGTGGTAAAATGGTCTTTGGAGCGATGGAACAAACTAATGAATTAAAGCTTTTGTTGCTATTTTGAGAGTATTCTCCTCTGCAACACTTATCTAAGGTTCCTTCAGCAAAAGCTACTTGCCACGCACACCACGAATCTTCTCCCGACGGGTATTTGTCATGTTGAAGCTTCTCGTCTGTTGACAATTTATGAAATAGAGTTGCCCAAGTATCATTCTTCATATCTTCTATTGAATTAGCATTGCTTCGAATTGCCAAACCATAATATTTACTTATATCGTAAGTTTACTAGTCAATTCACCTTTTTTTGGGTTTTTTAACGTTACGGAATCGAGTTTCCCTGCGTTTTGCCGCGTGATCGATGTATTCTTTTTTCTGCACAACAGTACTTTCATAAAGTTGAGCATCTATAAGTCCTTTAAAAGTTCTACTGTCGCCATAGCCGATGTAAGAAATGTATTTAACATTATACAGACTAATGGAACGTTTAAACATCTCGATTACTGAGTCTACTTCCACTTTTCCTGCAGAACCTTCATGGTTTGACTGGCAAACTGTCTTATGCGTTTCAAGCCATTCCGCATACTCTTCGCTATCTTTTTTCTTTTCCCAAGTTTCACAACTTTTACAGTACTTAGATTTGATGATGATGTCGACAACTTTTCGACAAATGGACTATTCGGAACGCTAGGTGCTAATATTGTCACACTTTTCGCATGTAACATTTATTTTTAAACCCAAGCCGCGCATTGAAGTATGACTAAAAGTCACGCTAGAATGGCACTTATGGCACACTATAACGCTCGAGATAGCATTGAGCACGGCAACAAAATTAACGAAGCAGTAGCCAAATCATGGATAATCATTAATATCACTTTTGGCTCACTCCTTCAACGTCTTCGATGAGAATGCCAGCTAGACTCTCTGGTACCTTTTCTTCCAGAATACACAACATTTTTATCATTCATGGTTAAAATTTCGGCAAATATTCACTTAGAAGAGAAATTTTGAACCGTAACGTCTTTTTAACTGTTTAGACAGCGTCGTTCACAACAAAAGATGCACAAACGGTAAGAGTTGCATATTACTACGTCATGTGTACAATTAAAGGCTGGTAACTAGGCAACATGAAAAATCACTAGGCAAGGTGACCAGTCAGATGATTTTAAATCAGTTTCAAGTTTCAACAAAATTCTTCAAAAGCTTTGAGGATAGTTTTTGGCATCATTTAAGCAAAAAAATAACAATTTTTTTAAAATTCTACACTGATGTACCCCTTAAGTTATTGTATATTAAGACACTGCAGATATTTGTTTGTCAAGAAGGACTGGTAGCCAAGGTCACTTTACAGCTAAGGTGTTACTTTCTAATGTTCTTATTCCAGGGTCAATCATATTAGATTTTCGATGCTTAGGAGCAATTTATACCCTAATTTAATTTTGATGATGTGAATAGTGTTTCGCTGGGTAACATCTTAGCTTTTATTAATCGTAAGATCGTATTTTAAAGTGAAGTTATGATGATGAGTAAGAATATGATATGATTGTTACTAATACTATATTGAAAATCAACCTCTTCTGCTTTAAAAAGTGTTAGATATACCAAATATAATTAAAAATAGGAATCATATTCAATTTAAAATAGTAGATGTCACTAGTAAATATTAATTTTAACTTACGTTTTAAACCATACGGTTGTCCTGGAACCTTAGATTCATCCATATCATGAGCGAACGTGCTAATATCAAACCATTCAGTTGGAGGTCCAGTTCCATTGACATTTAAAGCCCAAAGTTTTACTTGATACAAAGTTCCTCTTTCCAAATTCCTCAAGAGGAATTCGCGTTCATTACTGGGCGTCGTGACCGTGTCACCTTTGTTCCCTTGGACTCTATACCGGATTTTGTAACCAGTTATTATGCCGTTTTGGCCCTTTAAAGGAGGCGGTTCCCATCTAACATTAATCGTCTGTCAAAGAACAATAAGTAAATTTTTTTTTCGCGTGATTAAGAAATTTAATTAAACCCGTTACTTACCCTGCTTGTAGCTTCGAAGGAAACATTCGCCGGTGGTTCAGTAGGAGTAGCACTAAAAGTTCTAACAGTTTTCTCCTCCGACGCAGCTCCGGGCCCTTTTTCATTTTCAGCGACAACGTAAACGTTATATTCGGTGTAAATACTTAATCCGACGATGTTATAATCCAAATTTGTTGTTTCAACTTTGTTTTCGGATAACGTTTGGGGCTAATAAAAAATTAAGTTAAATTAAAATTTTTTAATTTTCACCTTTTTAATTTACCTCGTAATAATAAACGATATATTTCGTAATAACTCCATTTGGTATATCAGGAACATCCCAGCTAACATAAATAGTATCACTTCTTGTAGCGTAAGCATCAAAGTTTAATGGAGCACTAGGAACATTTTCTTCAGCGTGCGTTTTAACGGTTAATATTTCAGAAGAAGCACCGGAACCATGATTATTATAAGCAACGATTCGAAAATGATAAACAGACCCGGGTCGGAGACCTTTTATATTAATCTCTTCCATTCGGGATTTGGTCGTGTTTTCAACCCTTTCACTAAATTTAAAAAAATCAATTTTTTCTAACTCATGAAAGAATAACAAGAAATAAATACCGTTCGTTGTTTTCTTGCCGATAATAAACAGAATATGCCAAAATATCATCGCTGTTATCCAACGGAGATTTCCAACTCAAAATAACGAATCGAGGATGGACCACCAGTGCTTTAAGGTCCAAAGGGGCGCTTGGTAATGCGTCCGAGGATCGGCTCTCTAAAGAAGGATCTATAAAATGTTTGGAAAAACCTAGTTGGGACTCGGTATAAGCGGTTTGTGTGTTGCCAAGGTTGTTTTCTTCGGATTCGCTACTTTTTAACGAAGTTAAAATGCTGTGAGGGTCGACTTCCGGGTTTAGTCGTGAGAAGAGTGTTTGTGATTGTTTATTGGATTGTTGTGGACGTTTCTTGCGATTTTTCTGAACTACTCATGCAGTGGTAATAATATAGGGCATGCAAAAAAAGAATGAAAATTACGAAAGTGGGATAATTAGGATAAAAAAGGAAAAAATAAATAAAAAAAAGAATTAAAATAATAAATAAATAAAAGGAAAAACAAATAAAAAAGGAAGTAAATACTAACCTGTTTCAATAACTTTTAATTTTGCTGAAGCTTGTATATTTCCAGCTTCATTTGAGGCAACGCATTGAAAAATTCCTGTATCACTTAGCATTAAGCCGTTTATGTTTAGGTTATTCCTAAGATCATCATAAAATTAAAATTATTTTAATAAAGAAATTTTTAAATGTGAATAATACCCTAATAATTGATAGTATTCGCTTAAATTAACCAATTCCCCATTTTTTAACCATTGCACTTTTGGTTCTGGAATCCCATAAACGCTACATTCAAATTCAACGTTTTGTCTGGCAATTTGTGTTTTGTCTGTTGGTTTCGTTTTAAATCTAGGAGGAACATGAACTATGATCGTAGCACTGGCATCTATACTATCCTCTTTATTTTCAGCTCGACATTGATAAGTACCAGAATCTTCCTCTTGTATATTAGTAATTTTTAAAGAAGTCGTAGAACCAACAACGCTAAATCTCGTATCCAAATCCCTAAATAAAGGTTTAATACAAATTTATTTTTTACTTATTAATTATTTACATACGCCATATCGATACTGTAACCATCTTTTAACCATGTAATGATAGGAATTGGATTTCCATTGGCGGCGCAATCCAAAGTGATATTTTTGCTTTCAATTACAGTCGCCGATTTTGGACGGGATATAAATAAAGGCGGCGATTTTATTCCAGATTGATCTGGATTAACATTTATTAACAAGCTGGCTTTATTACTGATTCTATGAGAATTAAGTCCGGTGGCGTTACATCTGTAAATACCCTGATCGGATTCGCTAACTTCGTCAATTTCTAAGGAACCCGAAGGGAGGACGGTCATCCTTAATTCGTCCAATTGTAAAGGGCGTTCGTCCTTAAGCCATTTAATTTTTGCTGGTGGTGATGCTTCCACGCGACAAGCAAAATACGCTTTTTGACCAGCAAAAACCGTCAAATCCCGAGGTTCTTCCAGAAAATCCGAAAGTGCTAAAAAATAAATTCATTTCGTTAAAATCTAATTTATAGCTTCCTTATAATTTGTTTATAAACAAGCATTAATTTAACATGTCTTGCTCAGCAAGTAATAACCGAGTAAGCATCGAAATCTGTCTCGTTATCTAGATGCATCCGAGCCATATCGGCGCACAAATTGCCGCTATAAAACGCATTAACGTCTATTAAAACCGCGATCGTAAGCGAGTAAAAAAAATCTTCTTAGTTACGTTATAGCCGTTTGCGATTGGATTTGCAAAATTGCGATTACCGTATAGGGTTTACACACATTTCTATTTAGTGTTACGACGATTTCGATCTATAAAGAAGAATGTACTTACTCGCTATACTAAGTTTGGCTGTCCTGCTAACTATGGCGCCGTTTACGAACGAAGCCATACACTGGTAGTTTCCTGTTAAGTCTAACTCTTCGTTTACGTTGCTTATGTACAGCGACCCGTTTGTTAGTTGAGATCTGTAATTGGAGAAGCGAAAGGTTAGACGAAGACGACTCGAAACGTCCGCTTCAACTTCCCCTACATCGAAGGTTTAATCCTTGTGGGGATGATTGGGTTTAGGATGTAATATGAGAAAACGTTCCACGAAATTCAGTTTAAAGCTTTTGGTGAAGGTAAGGCGTATTTCAGGTTTCAGGTAATCATATTGAATAGCATTTCCATTTGAGATACTTTCCAGGTTATTTACATCAACATCTCCGTTTTATTTTATACCTATGATATTAAAATTCAGCACCTAATGAGAAAGCACTTCAATTACTTTCCGTAATGTGCAGTCTAAAGTTTTCATAGTGTGACTTTTAATAATTCCCTAAGTAAGGAGAGTTGACTTCGTGTTAAGAATAGTTAATTTTACAAAAGTTCATCTCTTAAAACTTGATTAAAATGGATCTTTTACTTCCGTTAATTTTATCTTAAGAAATAATTGTATTACTGTACTATAGAGTTACTTACGCAGATCCCAACTCGCGCGATTAGTTAGTTTGGAATGTGACCACATGATTTGAACATATATTGATAACCTCTCTATTTCTTTATTTATGTGTGAAAGTCTTTTATCTAATATGTACAACTATATTAGTCCTTTTTTCTTCTGCAGAAAACTCACAATAAGCGTTATGAATACAAGTTATTGCCCTTAGATGGATTGAGAATATTAATGTTAAATGTTTTGATCAGCATTTCCAGAGCTTTTGCAATAAACTGGCAGAAATTTTGACAACATGCTGGGTGGTTATAATAATAATAATAATTTATTTCCAAAACACTCAAAAGTTACAGGTCGTCAGACACAGTATTTGTATTTCATTATGTAATTCACAACATTATAGAAAATATAATAATACAGCATATATGACAAGATTTCTACAGCTTAAATTTTACGCCCTGGTAATATACCGATTGTTGACGGGTAGTTAGTCGATGGTATGGAATTTATAGAGATGAGTTATTGCTCGTACTGACATCTATAGATATACAGCGAATAGACAGTCATTATTTTTAATTCTTCAAACAATGGTTTACAGCTCTCCATTTGATTTGAATTCATCAACTCTGACTGGTCTTTTTTGTATTATAAATATTGGCTCAGCTCCTGAGGAATTTCCCCAGAACAATACACTATAAGACATAAAGCTTTGGAAATTCGAGTAATACACCACCATTGCTGTATGTCCATCTGCCAAACTCATCATTGTTTGTAGCTGCAAAACTACTGAACTGAGTTTTTTTCCAACTTCTTGTATCTGTGCATTCCCTTTCAGAGAACTCTCTAGGAGTACTCCCAGTAGTTTAGCAGTTGTTGCATCAGTAGATTTACTGAGAAACTCAATTCTTTGAGAAACTTAATTTTCGTTTACCTTGTCATTGGAAATCGCCTCGTTAACTAGAGTTGTATCGTCTGCAAACATTATGGTACTGCATATTTTCAAGGAATCAAAGAGAGTAATTACATACAGCAAGAAAAAAATTGGCCCCAAGATGGATCCTTGCGGCACACCAATCCCAACCTTTTTAATAGTCGACTTGCAATTACCATTTTGTACCAGTTGTCCTCGGTTTGTCAAATAAGATTTAAACATTGTCCGGTGCCTTATACCGTAATTGTTTAATTTATTTAACAATATTATGTGATTTGCGCAATCAAACGCCTTTGTTAGGTCCAGCATCTGTACCGAGTCTTTTTTTGACACGTAGAAACCGTTGATAACTTTCTCAAGTAGATCGATTATTGCTTTACTCGTGGAGGATTTCCTCACATAAACATATTGGTCTTTACTTAACACATAATTGGTCGAAATGGCTATTGATTAAAAAATGATACGAGGTAGGTAGTCAGAATTAACATCAACATATTTCAAACAGATTTAATTGGATTAGCAATGCTGATGATTAACAATCAGAATTAAAATGCTATGAAGTTAGAACTACTATAATAACCATTATGTAGTTAACTCATTAGTTTAGAACATTAGAACGTGATGACGTTATAAGGTATGTGCAATTTATCATGGCAAACAATGACTCTACATTATTTCTTACGAAAATTTATAAAACATTATGTTACATTGCATTTGGTATAAGTCCATCTTGAGCGCATTAACAAATTGCTTTTTGACCTTTTTCGGAAAATGACCACTTGAATGGCATACCAGACTCTGGGGAGGCTTTTGTTATGGATCGCAGAGAGATTTGCCAACAGATCGCATATAATGTCTGGAAATATTACGTGCAAAACCCAACAAATCTAAGTTGCCGCCTGTTAACTGGTGTACTTTCCAGGAATTCACCACCATTTCTTTCCTTGTATGGAAATTCGGTAATTATTTACTGATTGATCCAGTAGATCTACGCCATCCATACCAGCATTATACTTTTTGAAGGAGTGGTGGAGGAACCTCTATTTTCTGCTTTCGTTAATTAGACCAACGTTTTACTTTAGAAAGAGGATAAATTAAGTCGTAGTTCGTTATCATTGTTACCAAACTGATGTCTTTAGTAGTCTTTAGTAACAAGTAATAGCAAGTTTTTGCTCTATGGAAAAGATTTTTTAGCGTCTTTAACGTTTTTAGTTGTAAAAAAATTATTAAAATACATAGAGAATGTGGTCCTCAGGGAACATCACTTTCCTCCAGTAAATCCAACACTATGCTGGACCCAAGAAATAGTTTAATGGAATATGGATAAACTAGTTAGAATAATGGTGTCCATAATATTTCACCATTGCTTCATCTAAGGACAAATCTTGATAAAAAATACCCCATTGTTAAAATTTTTTGTTCAAGATGTTCATCAAAGCTCGAAGCTTGAACATTTTGTCGTCCTTGGATCTAATCATTATTATATTTTCTTATATGTCATAATATTTGTTGCATGACCAAATTTATGTCTAGATCTTTATCAGTATTCCAATACAAGTATTCCCTGAGTAGTCAATGGTACCCAGTTAAGAAAAGAAGATCAATAAAAGCTTTCATTTCGTGCACACTAACCGAAAATACATGATTGTGTTTTTGGTTTGCGTATCGCATAGATTCCGCAATAATTAGTTCTCACACTTCAGCATCAAATAGCTTCTCAAAAATTTCAACAGGATTAGGGTTTAGCATTTCACTTTTTAGATTCTCTTCATATTGCACATATCCATTACTTGTTGCTACATCAATTGATATAATGTCCAATGTCCAGAAAGAATTTTTAACTGTCAGTTTGTGTTTTACTTTGATAAATCCTTACACATACGGCTCTGTATATCGCCCAAAGGAACCTCGTCTTCTGACGCAATGTCACTAGCTTCACCAGTCAATCGTAATTGTATCGCCATCGTCAATACAATCTTTTTTGTATGTCATTTTCGTAATTTGTTTCAGGCGGTATAAAAACAACATACACATTTGTTTCGGTTTCAGCAGCCTCTTCTAAAGCAAGTTCCAGAGGGTGTTGTTTTGATTTCCATGTATCACTATTTTCTGCTCAGTGTTCTAAACTTCATACTAATTGGTGATTACGGGCACTGTGAGCAATTGTGTTAGAAAAATGAAGTGACAGCTACAGTTTGCTGTATAAGTTATATAACATGTAAGCTTACACTTGAGACCACGCACCTCTATCTACAGAATGAAATCATAGCCAGCCGATTCTTCTTATGGGCAAAGGATATTGCAGAAACGTACATGTGGTATATGGGTTCCCTAGGACTCTTGCTAAAGTACTCCCCATGTGGTAGTTCAGGTGAAACATAACCCTTCGGTTCTGTTGAAGAAATGTTTGCGGTTCTGTTGATGTAGTTGGAATAAATAATAAATTGCTGTTGCAACGAGATGTAGGTAGTCTCACCGATTGACGTTAAGAGCCATGCGTATGTATTCCACTGATGATGACTACACAAAGAAACCCAGATTCATGTATATGTGTACTAAAGATTCAACACAGTATGTGCCGTTTCTTGCAACCAACACGGCATATATTTCTACGCTGGACAATTGTCCGTAATATTGCCTCCTTCACGCCCTACGCCTATGTTCTCCGGAGTCTTTCTTTTCTATGCTTTCCTGCCGGAATCCACCGCCACATCTTTTTGCACATTCTATCCTATTCTGTTCAAATGCTCACATCATGACATTATTAACCTTTTTGTCTGTATTCTATCTATCATATCGCTATCTCCGTCAGCGTTCATTACTTCTTTAAGGTCCATTTTTACTATCCTCCTAATAAACTATCTAGAGGATAGTTGCCATGGTTACGGCGATTTTAAGCGCTCTCATTGGTTAAGAGCTGGATTTATTTATCGGATAGATTTATCAAGAGGTGGTAAAAGTGGGCCTAGTGGCACTATTTGTAATGCGTTGGAGTCTAGATATTCTGCACCTTCGTCGGACTGCGTCCATTTCTAAGACTCATATTTTTTTTAGATGTTCCAAGTTTCAGAGCAATACAATGTAATACTTTCTATTATAGATTGTTATATTCTGCATTTAGTGCAGTTCTTTTCAATTCAGTATTTCTTTTTATGGATTGAAGATAAACCCAGGAAAGGAACGTCGTAAGTTGTGTCAATACTCGTATATGTCTGGAGTAGAAGTCTTGCGTCTTTTTTGTTATAGGTGTGAAGGCCAAAACAAAAATTCGCATGCAATACTCGAACTAATGTCCTAGCTCAAAAATCACTTTTATATTTTTATTAATCACATTTATCACGTTTATGGATTATTATAATATCCATGTCTATTAATTCCTTAATCATCTAACATTAAATTTGTCAAACTTTAATGTTATTTCCTTCTCTAAAGAAGATCTAAGCAATAGATTAGAAACACTCAATACTCTAATATGGTTCAAAGTCATCTTGCATAATATGTTATGTTTAACCAAAAAGAGTTCAAGAAAAGGTGATTTTCTTTTATGATTCATGTTATATCTTTTTAATTAATATATAAGTCAAAGAAGTAATGAATCTTAACTCTATGAATAAAAAAAAACACCGTGCAAATAAATAATTACTGTAAGTAATATGTACTTTCAACTAACGGAGTCTGTATAAACAAAACAAAATAAATCTTAACCTATAAATTATAATTTAATAACTTAATAATTTATTTAGATGAATAATAATTTTAGCTCTATAAATTTTCAAAACCAATCAGAATCCCTAAATTCATAGAGGTACAAATTGAATTTGTATTGTTCGTTTTTATTTCTTTCCAATCCAAAAAGGGAATAATTAACCAAATTACAATAACCGTATTAAATACATTTTTGAAATATACAAAACTCGGTCCGTTTCGACTGCCAATAAAACATATGTACATAAAGTTACAATAAAGTTGGAATTGAAAATGGGAGTTTCGCTACAAAACAAGTTGTAAATCCCTTCAATTCCATCCCACCATCCATTCTATGCATGTAAATTTGCTGCCAATACACAATAGTTACCTACTCTCTAGTGAGTCTAGTGAATAGAAAAGTTTTTAATAAAAGCTTTTATCATTTAACTTCGCAAAACATTTTCTTGAAAAATGTTCTAAGTATAGAATAAAATTATTTTTGTTTTACCTGTATGGATCACCTATAAACGTCAACGTTTGCCTGTCGTGGTCCAACCATTGTATATTGACGGCGTTGAGGGAGAGATCGGATTTAACCACGCAATCCAATACTGCCGAGTTGCCCGCTTGGACGACTGTATCTGAGGGTTCGACGGCAAATTCAAGGGTGTGTCCTGAAACAATACATAATTTATAAAGTTGAGGAAGTGGCACAACCGGAATTCAATACGACCGACCTCGTCGAAATGTAATAGACTTTAAGAGTTTGAACTTTTCAAAAGCAATTTGAATTTCCCACCCGGTGCAACTCCGACTAAAAGAACTCAAAGAACATCCGGGATTGCGTTTAGATAATAACACAAGTAGAAGAAGGTCAAACGACGGACAGTTATTTTACCAGATTTAAGATTTGATAGAAAGTAAGATTTAGTACCTATTAAATAAAGGGGAACAATGCTTGTCGAGATATAAAACGGACGATGGTAATTTAGACCTTGTTACGCAGAAGCTTGGGTCCACTAAGTGAATATGTTCCGGACAAAGGTAACTCATAGAACAACAATCGTACGCAAACTTTGCATCCAGATGGTCATTAGCGAGTACTTAATTACAGATCGTGCATATCCCTTAGGTATAATGAATGCCTCGATTTGTACGTAAACGCGACTTTGCTGAGTATGGTTCTGCACGGGGCTTAGACGCTTTAATCCCATCATAATTGCAAATAGAGCTGTACTAACCTTTAATATAATACGGTAGGTAATTAGGAGGGCAGTTAAATGAAATTTATTACCCTTCTTGCTGTCTAGGTAATAAGATAAATAATGCAGCGGTAAACATTTCGAAGACTTTAAGAATTTCTAAGACTTTATATATACATAAACTTACGTTCAAATTGGTTTCATATTTTTATATTTTATAAGGTATTTTTATTTAATTTAAGTCATTATTAACTTTTTAATGTGCTTACGTAATCCGGACATTAAAATGTTTAAAAGATCTAAATGCTTATTTATAGCATTCATATTCATTAAAATGTTGATTATATTGCAATGAGAATTTAAATTCTTGTTAAAAAGTACCGCGTGTCGAGGTCGAATTATTACGCCAGTGTTATACTTGTTTATTGCTTAGGTAATGATTATAGCAGATTTAATAACTTTAGTGATGACGATGGAGACGATTAAAATGTTGCTACTGCCGAAGCATGATCTTAAAGAGGGTATTTGGATCCAAACCACGATTTACACTGAATCATCAAAGTCAAGCAACTAAATATTCAATCAACAATAAGGAAGCCAAGAAAAACTTTATTAAACTTATTGCTTAGGTAATGATTGTAGGAGATTTAATAACTTAGTAATGACGATGGAGACGATTAAAGTATTGCTACTACCAAAGCATCATCTTAAAGTATTTGGAGCTAAAGCGCGATTTACACTGTTTCATCAAAGTAAAGCAAATAAAAATCAATCAATAATAACAAAGCCAAAAAAACTTTATTAAACTTATTATTACTTAGGTAATGATTGTAGGAGATTTAATAACTTTAGTGATAACGATAGAGACGATTAAAGTGTTGCTACTACCAAAGCATCATCTTAACACGTTGGCTGCCATGAGGATCACCGGTGTTCCTCAGAAAAATTTCACTAATATGCCGCTAGGATCACAGTGATGAAGTCAAAACCAATTTTGAGGTTAGTTCATGAATATTTTCTTCACTTTCTGTTATTTATAACGACCAAGTGCTGAAGTTTTCTGGCAGATTTCATCATGGATTCCAAACCTGGGCCCAGTAGAGTAACTAGACGTAGGCCTATAAAAAAATTCAAAGTACATGAACTTGCAGCCGCACTTGAGTGTGATGATGATTCTGAAGGAAGCTTATTCTAATCATCCTGCTTGGAATTTGAGGTGGATGATGAGTCGTCGGAATCTGGGAATGAAGTGGATCCTGAAACGTCAGTTCAAGAGGAACAGAAGAATGGCAAGAGATACGTGTGGACAAATTATCACTTCATATAGTTTTTGGGCTCAGAATCATAAAAAATTGATCACCACAAAATCAAGAAAGTGTAACTGCCATGCAGATATACCGGAAGTTTTTTGACGCAGAAGTTTTGAGTGTTATTGTTCGCGAAACAAATAAAAATGCTGCAACTACTAATCAAAACAGTCGACCAAGCCACTCGGCCAGAATCAATAAATGGGTGGATATCAATAAAGATGAAATGTGGAAGTTTTTTGCTATCGTTCTTTATATGGGATTTGTAAAGTATCCTAAAATAGCTGATTATTGGTCCACCAGCATTTCATACAAAAATTGTATCATTCCAAAAGTAATGAGTAGAAATAGATTTCAATTATTGCTGAGATTCGTTCATTTTGCTGATAATTCGACGGCTGACAAAAGTGATAGGTTATACAAAGTTAGAAATCTAATTAACATGATGAAGGAACGATTCAATGTCGAATATGTGCCTGGAGAAATGATAGCTGTTGATGAAGCAATGATTCCTTTTCGGGGCCGATTATTATTCAGACAGTACATTCCCAACAAAAGCCACAAGTATGGAGTGAAAATGTTCAAGTTGTGCAATCCAATTGGTTATACATTGAGCATGTCACTGTATTCTGGACAAACAGTTACTGGAGTTGCTGAAAGAGTAGTTATGGAAATTGCAGAGCCATATTTATCTGAAGGAAGGCTTATAGTAGTGGATAACTTTTATACATCAGTGCCATTAGCAATTTCACTTTTACAGAGAGATACCCATTTATTAGGTACCCTAAGGAAGAACAGGAAGTACTTACCAAAGGATATCATGACAAAAAAACTTAAAAAAGGAGAAGTAGTTGGTAAACAAAATTCAGAAGGAATTGCTGTATCAAACGCGATGTTTACTTCCTAAGCACAAAACATACTTTGGAAAAGATGACAATTGGACCAAAAAACAGGTTGGGAGATGAAGTTTGTAAACCAGTTGCTGTTTTAGAATACAACAAGGGCAAGCAATAGATAGACCTTTCAGACCAAATGTCAAGGTATTTTATGCCCTTGAGAAAAACCATCAGATGGTATCACAAAGTAGCTTTTGAGGTTTTATTGAATACTGCTGTAGCCATTGCGCTTTTAATTTACAATCATTTTCACAAAAGGACAATTCATATTGCCTCATTCAAGGAGATGCTTGTGCTTGAGATGCTAGGTATTGAAAAAAAATGACGTTACAGCAAAACGTTTAGATTCCTTGAAGCACAGCTTAGTGCAAAATGAAGAAAAGGATAGCAACAATCGGCGAAAAAAAAGAAGACGTACAAATTGTTACGTAGAAGCTGCAAAAGAAGCACGTTCAGTGGCACAAAAACAAGGAAAATTAGTTTCCACAACATGTCATGTTTGTGACAAGTATGTGTCTTCCATGTTTTACAAAACTTCATTGAAAGTACAAAGATAATTTTCTCATTGCACTTGAGTAATCCTGGTGATCCTCATGGCACTAAAGGAAAACAGTTGTTACTGCAGTGCCATGAGGATCACCGGTGAACTCACATTTTTTTTTTTTGCTTTCTACCCTCATATATACCATTTACATGTAAAAAAATGTCGTTTTTCAAAAAGGAAACTCTAGTGTACCATTTTTTACAGTGGCCTCCAGGGAATTACTGAATTGGTTGTATGGTAGCAGCCAACTCCTTCCTCCCACAGCTTTGATTGTAATTCTTTAAGAGCTTATTTTGCTAATTCGCCCATTACTCTCGCCGAGTCAACCAAGAAATCAACATTGCTCACTATCAGTGGTTCTGCTCTCGTCAATCCTCGGTTTTCCTTCACCATGTCAGATGAGTCCCAGGTTCGGAACGCTCTTGCAAAAACGCGCTATATAAGTGTCGATGCTGACGATGTTAGTGTTAGGCAACTCCTTCCCATCTTGGATATAATTACTCCACCATTACTTCATACCTTTAATTTCTCCATAGAGTCTTCGACCTTTCTTGCAACTTGGAAGCAGGCCTGCATTGTTGCTATTCCTAAGATTAACTTCCCTACTCGCCTAAGTGATTTTTGGCCAATATAGATACTTTCCGTATTATCTAAGGCACTTGAACGCTTGGTGTACAATCAAATGCAGGATTACCTTGATGAGCATAAACTAATTACAGACTATCAATCTGGTTTCCGACCAGGCTACAGTACCACATCGGCACTCATCAAGGTTACTGATGATATTAAGCGTAACTGTGACGATAGACGAATAACCTTGTTAGTTAACCTTTCAGCAAAACTAACAAGGTTATTCTTTTTCTGTGTTTCAACGTCATAGTGGTGTGCCTCCGGGAAGTGTTTTGGCTCCATTACTCTTTTCAATTTTTATAAATAGTGTTACCAAATTCATTTCATGCATTTCAACAACTGTGAATGAGCTCCCGGTATCCATGCTGCGGCTTAATGACGCTCTGTCCAGGATACTTTACTGGTCTAAATGTTTTGGCCTGAGTTTGAATATTGCCAAGGCGCAAGCTATAGCATTCGGTTCAAAACCTTTACTTTCAAAACTTTACTATCTATTTTTGTCTATTTTTGTTTTCATTCTTTGCGTAAACTTGGTTGTTTCCTTCCCTTGCTGTCCGTTGTAATCTTTGTTACTCATTAATAGTGTCCCACATAGATTATGCTGATACGGTGTATCCCGACCTAGCAATTACCCTCCGTAACAAATTGGAAAGATTGTGGAACAATTGCCTACGCTTTATTTTTGACCTGGGTAATGTTGACTGTCGAAAAGCGCAGATCATTCTGTATACTGACTACACTATATAAGATACTTTCCTTCTCGGTCCCATTCATCGCACCGAGAGATATCATGGATCTTTCACGATGCAGGCTATAAAGCAATAGTTTACCCATGGAAATACGCACCACTCACAGTTTTCTAACGTTTAAGGTCTAGTTAAGGGATTATCTATTATCACTACAATTATGTGAATCTAACTCTTGATGTCGCCTGCTTCTCTTCTCTTTTCCTTTTTCTTTTTTCCCTCTTTGCTATTCTTCTTCTTTTTGCTTAAATGTTGAATTGTTTATATAATGCTATATTGATTTTCTTTCTTTTTTTTGCATACATTGCTGGTTAGGTCTTTTGGAAGACATCGCCTTTGGAGGTAAACT